TACAACAAAGGTGATTCGGAGCTTATACCCTTGAATCATTCCGATACTATTATCGCGGTATGCAAAAATTAAATCATGCCTCATCTGGGTGTACTCAAAACAAGATGCAAATATTCTAAAAGAAGCTCGAAGGAAGGAGACCAAGAAGTTTACCCAACCAGTGGGCGGAATGGGCACACAGCGTGTGAGTTAACTGAACCTCTTAACCTGAGTTATAACACGCGCGGAGGTTGGTCAAACTAACATGCAAGGAAATACGGCTCACCGACAATTTTTGCCGAAGGAATCTGTCGGTTATCCTATTGTTATTCTACTGCTTCACCCTAGTGACTTCACAAACTGCCCCATTCTTACCGTAATACATTCCTAACCCTATTTGACTGACTTGTTCTTGCTCTGTTATCAAAATTGTTGGGAACTTTGCATCTAATCCTTACCTCTACTTGAGATTACCGCAATCCAATACTGCTGCACGTATTCCGCCACCCATGGGAATAGGGTCTGCGAATGGCCCATCGATCTCACTGGTATCTTTGTGGCTTTCTTTGAAGATCGGAGTTTGGGGCAAAAGCACTGAAGCGGACGGCCAGCACCTTTGAATTCATATTTTTGAACCCGCCAAGGCACACATCTAAGGGCAAATCCCCTAAACCCCTTATGGTAAGCCACTTCAAAGATTGAAAACCTTTTTGAGGTGATAGATTGTAACCCTTGTTCGAAATTTCATTCCTTTTCTCCCATACCTGTTGGTACCATTACCCGCAAAACCCAAAACCTAACTATCCTGCCGTGGCCATTGGGACGGGAAGTGAGGAAAGCCGTTATTTAGAACGCAAAAGGAAACACCATGGTAGTTGTTCATGGCAAACCATAGTTACCATGAGACCGCTATTCTATAGAGCAGTACCTCCATGAAATCAACCAGTAAGGGCGGATAACTGATGGAGCTAGCCATAACAGTCTGCCAGAGAGCAAAGCCAGTCGGCTGCGGAAGACGGGCCACCCCAACTCTACCTTCACCTCGGATTATTCGCCATCCGATGCCACTCATGTGTGGCCCAGAAAGGTCTCTAATGCCTGGCATGAAGGGTGAAACTACATAGTGGACGCTGTAGCGGCCAGAATCCAATAATCTTGGCCTGAACGCGGGAAATAACTAGGCGGTGCCAACTGACGTGAATCTGACCAGTTCCCGCGTTCTACTGTATGGCTTTTTAACTTCCGCGACTAACGCACAGTCAAAGGTTGGATCAAAATATCAAAACACGGTTTGTAGTAATTCAGTAGTAGATTCGTAACAAAATCTGTCGTACTATCAAAGCAACAATAAGTTATGTCAAATTACAAAAATACCTCAACAGTGCCGTTGGGTAACTATACAGTCCAAAACGTTCTGGGGTGCAAACACGTACCACACGGTAAAACTGGTTAAACAAATACAACTGTTAAGTACCTGTCAGTCAATAGGAATATTCCCGACAAAGGGATCAAAACTCTGCCTACAAGAATCAAGTCAACAAACAAACGTTCCCAGTAGACAGTCAAAAGACAAACAGTCAAATCACTGCACAACCGTAAGTTGAACAAAAACAAAATGTCGTGAGCAGTAAAGCAACATCACCTTATCAACAGTCCAGCGTCACATAATAGGAAAGTGAAACACTCACAATAAGTCTCAAACATACAAAGGCAAATACCGAGTGTAAAGTCAAATAAGACGGTTAAACAAGCAAATAACATTACACCGGCGAGGGTCAAAGGTACACCATCCATAACGAGGGTAAAAATGTTAAAATAAATGTCAATACAGTCAAATAAGGGTGGTCGGGAGGGATTTTCAGATCATTTTTCCGTTACAGGCGCATTATCACCGCGTGACACTGAGCCAGAACTCACCAGGTAAAAAGATGGATGGAAACTATCATAGTCTTCCTGGTCCGCGGTTGATAGGCCGTTTTTAACCAGTGGGGTAAACATCTCAGCGGCTGCAACTTCTGTTGCTGAAGTACTTTCACCAACAGAATTCCTAGAAACCCTAAACCAAGGAAGGCATTTGTGTGAAGTTTGGCGATCTAAGACCAGAACCCAACCATCGCGCTGCCGTTCCCACGTGAAGATGTGGTCAGACCTTTTTTCTCGTTTTGCACACACTAGCTTCTGTGTAGGGCGATGTTACTGGACTGAGAGGAAAGTATAGCGAATGAGAACGACCTGAAGCCAAGTGTACAGCGACGTCTCATTTTGACAGACTTCCAGCTCTCTCAGGACACATCTCCGTCGCATCAAATATCTTCTCCGGATCATTTATCAGCACCCACCATCTCCCCTCCTCATAAGGAAAAGATCATCGAGGCAGTCTTGGCCAGTCCCTTTACAGACTTCGTAATCATCGCCGGTGGTCTCCAAACCCTATCCCTCCTCTTTGAGACGGAAAGCAGGTACACCAAATCCTTCAGTCAGCAACCAATGAGTGCGCCTAGGACTGTCGGTCACCCAGAGAAAGTGGATGGTGCCACACGCTGGGAGCCTTGCTGAAATTCACAGCTCCTGAATCACTTTCTGACGAACAGTGATCCTCTCTTTGAGAAAATACGTGTCCAACCGCTTCTTGGCCTCAGCACTCGTGTGGTATCAACTTTTTTCGTGATAAGTAACGACACTGCAAACGGAAATACCCAAAACTCCCGCTTGCTGGGGTGGGGTCAACTATGAGAGTATGACAGGTTGCCAAATGGAGGCACCATGGCCTGAAGACTAGACTGCTTTGGCGATAGATGAACACTGAATGCAGGCGAGAAAAATAATCACAGTGCGCCATAGGCAACACACCGATCAACAGTGAGAACCTCACGGTTAAGGCGAGGGAATGAGGGGGTGCTTCGGACCAGAAAGCAGGCTCAGATCAAGCGGCATCGGCCACGCATGGGGTGTGACTTCTTGAGCTACGGAGGGATTCGCATTCGCCGTGACATGGATCTGCAACGACGAGTTTAGCAATCAAGCAAACATGGTTGGGAGGTTAGGAAGTAACTCAGAAAATCTGTGCCGTTTCGTATCGTAAAGGAAGTCGACCAACAAAAAGGTTGTTCCTATCGCAGATCTCAATGACGATGCAGCAGAGAATATGGAGATAGTTGAGCCTCTGGGCCCACGCTTCGAGGAGCAACTAAGTACTTTTGATGATAAATATGTACAAGTGCGATCCGATGCTGAATAAACCAAAGTGACGAATTCCTTTGCCACACCCCCATCAAGCAGAAAAAGGCATCGGAAAACCACCTAGTCTACGTTCAGACAAGTCCCCTATCTGTGACTACCTGGGACCATAAATCCTAAAGAACCCCGCCAAGGCACTCACGAAGCCAATATGCCGCCCCTTCAAGGAGTCTTTGGAGTCGTGGAGGCTCCCTGTTGACTGAAAGTGTGCAGTCCTGTCATCCAATTCCAGGAGGGGAGATCGAATAAGTCTTGGCAGCTACGGACCGACCACCCCACCCTTATATTTTCCAAGATATTAGAAAGCCTGGCAGCCAAAGAAATGTAGAGACTCTCTAAAGGGGAAAACATCACCCATATTGCTCGCCGTGGCTTTCGGAGTGATTGGTCAAGCGTCACCAACTTGCTGACTGCCTGGAGCAACTAAACTTCAGGCTGGGACGACAGAAACCTGCAAAGTGTTACTTTTCTTGACCTAAAAAACATTTGACTCGTAATCGTAGGTCACAAGGTTGCCGACCGGCATAAGCGAACCTCTGCATCCTTGACCCAAACCTTACCTAGAAGGTATAAAGTTTTTCACCAAAGCTGGCCGAATAGTATCAAAGTGGAGGCCATCAACACTCAAAGTAACACAAGTTTCAATCCTAGGCACACGTTTTCTCCTGCTGCTCCTCATGATCTACCGCACAAAATCCCCTGACCCATCTCCCCTTATGCTGACGACAGAAATTTGGGGGTTGGCAAGAAAAAGGATTTACTATAGAGCACTCCAAAGAGATTTTGCAGTATGCATAACCTTAGTCGTCAGAGAATGGCTTGAGCTTCAACCGAGAAGAATATGGAGTAATGTTCAAGGCTGAAATGAGCTGCAGTCATATCGAATAAGTGCCTGTGCAAAGAGACCTGGATCTCAACTTCCCCGACAACCTAAAGACCAGCCATAACTACAAACAAACGGCAACCACAGTGAACACCTGTCTGCACAGAAAGCTTGGCTCTCTCAGTCCAGAGCTGTTTTTCTTGGCTTTGGAACCCTACATATGGCCACATCAGAAAGTCTTAAACATGGCAGCACCTCAAACACCCAAGAGAGACTCCGGTTTACTTGAGAAGATGGAAAGATCTGCAATGAAGATAGCTGCAGGACTAAGGGGTAATACATACCCTGACAGATTCAAACACTGAACCCATTCACTTTGGGCCGTCACAGGGAGGACGGTGGGTTTTTTACGGCCAGGTAGGTCATATGAACGAACTGACCTTTCCCCCAGCATGGTGGTCATCACGAGGAACTCCGCCAGGACGGGACACTAGAGAGCTGGGACCACCCCTCATTTTCTTCTCCTTCCCTTTTCTCTTCCCTATATTATTATTTTTTTCCTCTCGTTTTTTCTTTCATTTTTTTAAATTTTTTTCTTTATTCTCTCTTCATTCCTTTACCACTACCTTACTATTCCCTTTCAGGTACCTACACAGACAGGAGTCACGGCAGTTCTCTAAACTTCTCAGCAACCCGTAGCTCCCTAATCACTCTACAAAATTACAACCTACTAACCCACAAAATATCCACCTCACCGAAGCTAAAAGCAAGAAAGCAGAGGGGATTTCCTCATCCACTGCAGGAGTGAACCGAACAACTCGAACCAAGCCCTAAGAACTAGACGCGAGAGATCAAAAACTACCAGTTTTCTACGCTCGCACTATCAATATTGGATATATTGGATATTGGAGTAGGTAGACTTACTGCATCGAAATCCATCAAAGACTTGGAACCGTTTGGCGGGACCTAGAAGCGAGTGTAAAGAAATCAATTAGTTTACACTGGCTCGGAAAAATATAGTGGATATTGGAAATTGTTGTAAATACGGCCTTGAACGACAAGTCGTGCGTGTGATTCGTTGTGGGATGTACAAACGTAGGCGGGAACTCCGCACCTAGTCTTATTTAATAATCAAGTGAAAACTGCAATATCGGTATGTAACCCGATTGAGTTTTCCCTCTTCACTGACTTTCTGAGGTTTTCCTTCTCCCAAAATTTTTGCAAGTACTGAACACCTGTTTTATGTCATATTGGCTAAGTTGAAACCCATGCAGACTGCTGTAAACAACAGAGTTACGGAGAAAACTGGGCTGAGAACAAAAATAATGCAATCTGCACATTTCAGAAATGGTGCAGTTCATATTCATTGTCAAAAGATATTGCATTCTCATCTGTACGTTAACTTGAAGGACCACCACAGCTGTCCTAAACTTCATACATCATTTTCTCTTTTTCAAAAAACCTGTGAAGAAATTTTTTCACAGGTTCGCTTTCCTCCTCCATAGTGACCCAGTTGGCAAGTACTTTGGGCGCACTTTGAAACTTTAGGGTAATAAACTGCACAAAAAGACTTTGGGATAACTGTCTACAATGCATCGTTGCGCCCGAAAATGTAAAAAAATTTCACCCAAAAATTCCAAATTTGTCAAACTCCCCCAAAGTTCCGCCCGAAAATCCCAAATTATCTGCAGTGTGCCCGAAGTTTTAAAAAGTAGGCATTATAAGAGGTAACAAGTAGTTTATGGGAATGCATTTAGTCTATGTATATTCTTTGAAGCAGTATACGCGATGTGCGACTGTGTATGTAGTTATAGAGTAATGTAGTCTTCGGAAAATTTGAATTTTTGGGATAAGTGCCCAAAAGTTCTAAGCTGAGCCTTAAGTTCTGGATTTACCCAAAAATGTCAAAGTGCACCCAAAGTCTTTACCGGCTGGGAACTCGGTGGATTATGAAACCGAAACTTAACACTCGGCAGAACTTCTTGATTTCTCCTCCAACTGGACTCTGTCTTTTGATATGGTCTTATTGCTTCTACAGACTCTTAAGTTCCTGTTTACTTCTCATTTTTAGTTCATCCTATGTGCGTTTCGTATACTCACCTTCGTTTTGGTTAGACTTCAGGATAAGCTTTCTGTGAAACACTCGTCAAATAAGTATTACAGTATTCGCCTCAGGTTTATGCTCATGTCGACAATAATTGGTTATCAGTAGCAGCAAACTGTAAAAGAAATAAGTCCTATTTTTAAACCTACATATTCCTCCACTAACCGCTGTTTGTCGTCTGAAGTTCTACATTGTTGAATCCTTCACACGAAGAGATTGGTAAACCTAGTTCAAATTTAGAATGAACACCGTCGTTGCCACTCCGAAAATTGTTGGCACACAGTTTGTTCCAAAGTGTTTCAAGAGATGTTAGGCTTTCAAACATTTTGTGCGTTTGAACAAGGCAACTCAACGCAGTAATTACTGATGATTGCTATACAGTCCGACTTTTTAAGTTAGCCAGATATCAAAAACTTAGAGATTGGGTCTGAATGATAGTGCTCTGTTGCTATTGGTTTGACTCATGATTTGTCTTTGGCTCATACACCTAAATGTAGACTGGAGTAGTGAGCTAAGTGATACATGTTTATAGTAGGACTTCACAACTTATTCTAACTACCCGCTTAAAGATGAAACCCTATAGAATGAACTGAGTGGCAACAAGTCTTCTAGCAGTAATGACAATCTTCATACTAAAAATGAATTGGGTTTTTAGAGGAGAAGGACTTCAGTGGATGAATCTGTTTTCGGTGATACCATTTTGGGAACTTTATAATTTCCATATATTACTAACAGTAAAAGATCAATTTGTCGAAAACATATACCCAGTGAACAGTTAAACAATTTTCACGGTTGTTTTCTTATTATGTGGAAACGTAATCTAATCCATTCTCTCTTAAATCCCACTTGGATATTTGAAACAGTTTGACGTCTGTGTTAACGACAATTGGATAACAAGAGTTTTTTGATAACAGTATGCACCCGAAAACTGTTTCTGGAAAATACGCAAGGTTAAGCGAGCAGAAACCATTTTTGGATCTTTAATTCACTGTCAACACGGCAGATGTTATTCTAAAAAATCGGCTGGCAATAACTGTTAAGAAAATGTTAGATGTTGCAACTATACTGGTTGCTTTTACCAACTGTTTAAAGATGAAAACTTAGACGACGGACAAACTACCACTACTGATTGCTTCAGTGTGCTTATTTCGGTTCACCTCTCCTATGAAACTAGGTATGTAAGGTGTACATCAGTGTCCTCATCTTCCGACATAGATTGGTTAAAGTGAATTTAGATCTCTCAAAAGTTCTATCCTACAAAACTTAGTCGACAGTAAACAAATGGTTTCTTCTATGTGATTTATAAAGTTCAAAAAGAACTACCAAAGTGTAAGCGTTAGCTTTACGTTGCTAAATCTCCAGCAGTACCAATTCGGAAGTTGGAACTGTGTTCTGAAGCAAGTTTTTATTCACCTTTTAACATTCTGAATCTTTAAAACTGAATAGTTATAAAACGTTGGGCAAAACAAAAAGCCAATGAATTAAACTGCCATATATATATATATATATATATATATATATATATATATATATATATATATATATACGATTGTTCAGCCTTAGAAAATGATGTCGAAAAAGAAAATTTTCTCTAAATTATCTCTTCTCTAACACTTCTCAAAAGGCTGTGACAAACCTCAAGCAAATGGGTCATGGGCTTTGAGAGCACACAAATCTTTTTTACGTTTCAGTAACCTTAATAAGAAATAACCACGTGGCAGCCGGCAAGTGTCAGATATTCGTATGCTTCCAATAGTATACGAAACCCCGCTAAACATAATTTACTCTCCTTACCTCTGTCCCTTCCTTTGTCTTCGCTTCATGATACCAGTATCAGCCTCTTTCACTCTCCAACCAATATCAACGATCCAAGCCAGCCTAACATCATTCGTAGTCTCCCGAAACCCCGCCGTTGACTTGACGTTGGAGCTTTTAAAGTCCGAACTTTACACGGAGTCAGACAGCATGCATCGCTCACAAGAACTTTGAAATCTTGAGCCATATATGTGAGACACGTATACAGGAGATAAATGTAGTTATTAACTTGATCTTACCTGACCAGTGAGGAATCTTCGAAATCCACTCTACAAGTGTCAGGATATTCAATGGCTAACTGTTATGGACTCACTGGTGCAGGTATATCATTGAGTTGTAGAGCAGAAAGTGCACTTGTCGACTGAATACCAATCGACAGCCGTCTGTGCGCTCCAAATAAATAGAACCGTAAGATCTAGGAAGGTTCATAAGACTAACCAGTTCCTATTCCTTGATCTTCACCTACGCGCTCTTGGACTGCAGTTTGGATGATGCAAAGTATAAATGGTATCAGAAGCTTTCAATTTTTCTACAGAAAGCAAAACGTCGAGATATAGTCATAATAGCAGGTAACTTTAACGCTCAGTTAGGGAAGTTAAGCTAATCGGAAAGAAATCTTGGGGGCTACTTACTGAATCTCATGCCAACGAACATATAGCGGCGATCATTTGTTGCAATTTTGTTCCGACATCAACTTGTTTCTGATCAGCACCAACTTTAAGCATAAGGAGAGATACTGTCTCACTTGGCGTTTGCCAGTTCCAAACCAACGTTGGAGACAGATCGGATTGCTATAAGACATCATTGGAGATGATTAGTGAGGGATTGCTGTTCTTTTTGGAATACGTGTTTGAACTCCGATCACACTTTAGTATATCTTTGTGTCTTACAGGCGGGAGAGAGCGGGCGGCAGTTTAGCTTGCGCGTGCTTGTTTAGAAGGTGAGAACATGAAGTAGACAATTAGAAAGGGGATGGCTAAGCATCTATCTGAAGAAAATAGCAATGCTGATCATGAGGAGACCTGCTATGACATTCATTTTGCCGTAGAAACAGCGGTAAAGACAGTCAGTTATGCTGGTAGGTCGCTTGTTTCCCTCGAGGTTCTGCCATACAGGAAAGGCAGCTAAAAGGTATATTGAATAAGGGTTTTTGCGATGATCACGAGTGGTGCGTGCTGAAGGTGAGAGAGAGAGAGAGAGAATGTGTGAGTACTTCGTAATACCTGGCAGTTATTTATATTTAGTCTTATAAATGATATTGGGAAGACGAAGACCATGTTGAGTGAGATTATCGCTTACCTGGATGGTAACCTCAGCCTCTCATGGTAGATGCACACAAGTGCATCGGTCCAATTTGCTACACTACAGTAGTTTTCTAAGAACGAGTACATAAAATAGAACTGACATCAGGGTAGCCAAAGGTGTATGCGATAAGAAAAAATGTGAAGATTAAGGCCAGGGGAAATACTCAAGTTTTGGAAAACGTTAGAGAGGGAATACACCTGCCCTATTGTGACCGATTTCGCACCACTTCACTGGGAGTCTGCAGTCATAGATTCTATTGTCTCGATAAGCGCAGCCAAATAGTGTACACCTCTCTACACGGCTCAGACCCTCAACCAGAGACTTCATAGACTGGTGCCACATCTTGATCTGGCTACCTTGAACTTTCTTCTAACCCAGGTCGAAGCAATGACCGCGAAGAGTAGTGGGCAGCGAAGGTTAAGGAGATGGAAAAGGCACCTGCTCTGGGTAACAGTAGACAGGTATTTAGACCTAATAAGGAAACTGGACAAAGGGTTCAGTGGTTGGTGAGATAATAGCGGAGAAGGAGAGGTCTGTGATTCACTCACAGGGAAGAGACTGGAGCGATGGGCAAAGCACTTCGAGGTACAGTTCAACTGACCTCCAACTACTATTCCGCTGTCTGCTATCCAGTTAAATCGCTAATGGGACTTGAACAGTTACAGAAGCCGGGAACGCTGTTGTTAACCTGAAACGAGGAAGAACAACGGAGTCAGACGGACTAATACCAGAGGGTTATTGGTGAAATAACTAGGATGTGAGCCTCCAATACGATCCCTTCTGACTTGTCGTAATTACTGACTGTCCGAACCTTCAATTAAGGCCGGAAATCCTCATGCGATAACCGCAGGGGGGATTCAGCTTGACGAATATAGTATCTAAGATTCTAGGTCCTATAATCATTAGACATCTGAGTGGAGCTCGGGGAT